GGTCAAAAGCTTCTTGTATAGTTAAAGCAATTCATTTAACTTTTTATCGATAACCCTACTCATTAACTTTCGTTTACATTCTTTACCTTTGTACCTATTAGGGATTTTTTCGCTAGCATTCACTTCCAAGCGGATTGAACGGATTGAACGACGTTTATTATTTTATTTTTGCGCTCATTTGGACCACCAATAAACGAAAATGCGAAATTGATTTTGATTGGTTGGCGACATTGATTTTGCTTATGAAAAAAGTGTATTATTATTATTTTTTAGAGTGCTGGTAATGGCAAGTCCAGTTAAACAAAAAAGAAATAGACCATGTAAGGAAGCTTGTTGAATCTGTATCGACATTGTTTTAATGAGATGCCTAGGTGAAAATTGCAGAACTCACAGACGAAAATGTATATCAACAAGTAGTGACATTTGCGAGCGATGTCAGAAAATGAAGCTTGCTTGTATATACACATTTACAGAAAAGCCAGCAAAACCCAAGACAGTTTCCATCGTCAAACAAAATAATTTATTAAACGCTATTTGGACACTAGGGCGAGAAACAGAACTAGTGCGGTTTCAACTTTGTGAACTTCAAAGAGCATTATGCACCAACTGCCAGTCTGTCACTTGCCAGCACAGACAACGGTCTAAATGGAACCTGACGATCACCGGCAACCAAAAAGGGATTCAGGTCAACACATCAGTCAAATCTTTATCAGATCTTGAACTCTTTATAAAAGAAGGACTCTCTCGGTTACGATTAACAGATACTATCTCATTTCCGGATATTTCATTCAATGCAGGCAGCCAGATGCTACGTGTCACATACCCCGTTATGAAAGTAGAACAAGTTTTTCAGGACATATTTCGATTCATGCCTAAAGGAGCAGGCTCCTCTTCTCAACTTGACATCTCATCCAGCGCCCAATTTAATAAGCAATATCCACTATTTAAATTAAAAATGATTCAAAACTATTTTGCATGCTTCGGACTTGGCATACCCGTCTTGCCATACCCGATCTACTATCCCAAACTGTGCACCGAACTTGATTCGCTTTTGACTGCCTCTGTTGTTTGCCTAGCAGCCTACAGTCCATGCAGTCATGTAGACTTATCCGAGTTTTCATTTTCTCGACAACAATTTGCAGAACATAGTCGGCAGATAGCCAAGGAAATGTTACAGGACGCTTTATTTGAAGATGATACGCCCACACCCGAGCTCTGCTGTGCCCTTTTGCTAGTAACTATCAGTAGTATCTATGCACTGAAGGGTAAAGAAGCTCGAATTCAATGTAGCCTGTGCTGGCGCATGGTGAACCTGCTCAAGCCGATCACCCCTCAAAACGAAGAAGAAGCGATTCAGAAGCAAATCCAAATCCGTGCGTATTACCTTGTCCGATATCTCGAATTCAGCTTTATCAAGTTCAATGACAAGGCTAACGGTTTTGGTAGTGCCGCCCTCAACATCAATAGTTTACCTCAGCCTCTACCGTGTGAGATGAGCGATGTGACGATTATCAACGCGATTCAATGTTACCAACTGCTTCTTCGTCTCATGGCTATCTCATCCGGGTTTTCAAGCGACGAACCGATGGTGTTTGGATTCTTTGGCGGCGTGCTCGAGCATGTGTCGTCCACTGTAATTCTGGTACTTGAGCGATTCTTGTTAGAGCTCTGGGAGCTCTTTCCTGAAGATTTCAAGCTTGGCAACGGTCCCTATGCCTACACGGATGTGATTACCCCAGGTCCAGGCCAAAGCCCGTTCATACTACGTCTCAACCTGACATATTATGTTTATTGGGTCAATTTTCATTGCAAGATCATGAACTATCCTTGGCAAACAGACATGTCCAGTGTGGATGGTCAGCGTGTTGATGGTCATCGGTCTTTGATGATCGCCTCCATCTGTGCAGACACCGCCACTCAACTCTACGTTGCTATGGAAGATATCGCACCATGCCAACTTGATGTGCACTGGATTTCGTCCTGTTTGGATATCCTAAAGGTATTGGCTGCCTCTCTTGATCCCTCAGTTCGTGAACGAGCACAAAGGAACACAGCCATCCTGTCAGATGTTTTAAAGCGGCGCCTCCAGTTGGATCACCCTCAGGCGTATGCTGGACCATGCATGGATCAGCGTAGACATATCTATTCTGTTCGAAATAGTCGAAGCGCGAGTGTCAGTAGTACGAGCACAAGCGTCAGCAGTAGTATGAGTGAAAGCACGTGCGAGAGCGTATTGACAGAAGACACGAGTCATGGTATTTATATTAATCATCAAGTGGTGTATATGTCTCCATACTTTGACCAGCTGAGGTCAAATATCACTGAGTACATGTTGAATAATAAAATATTTGAAGAGATGTAGTTAATATACAACTTGGAGTATGTCCATTATGAAAGGTAGCATTTCATTTTTATCAGATCCAGTTGTGTACATTCAATATAATGATTGATAATGGCATGATTAAAAGATGACTCAGCAGTCTTTTGCAACAACAAAAAAAGGATGAATCATCACTAATATACAACAAAGAGGTTATATAGAGACTCATCGACACACATTTCCCTTATCACTTTTTTTATTCAAGACATATCACAACGAGGAGGATGGGAATAACCAAGATTATTTGCTCGTGTAATGTGTTCAACACTTCATAAATTCGTATTTACATTACAATACAACTAATCAGCACAAATTAAAGTATTTATACTTAAAATTCTAAAAAAAAAGGAGCAATAAGCCGTACAACAAGAAT